TAAGGGGGATATTGCACTCTTTGTTGACCTGTGATTGCGTTACGTTTTATCAACATCTTGAGACAATCCTTGCAACGCATTCTCCACCTGCAGGGACGACTCGGCAGTCACAATCTCCATGGCTGTTTTTAGATGCTGCCCATACCATCTTCAGTGTTGCAAAATCACGGGTGTATACAGGCACTGCGAGTAAAGCCGTGATTAATAGCAACCCAATTGGAAAGATCCCGTCAACTCTCACCCCCGTATTAGAGGAACAACCAAAGTGGTCTCTGTTGACAGAGATACTCGAAGAGATTGAGAGGGAAGCTCATTTTAATCAAGTGCCCCAAGACTCAACATACGGGACTACACTCATTATGTGTAGCGATGAAAAAACATGTCGTCAAATACGGGAGTATCTACAGACTATGAACGAACGTCCCCTAGAGGATGCTGGTGATAATGATACCGATGAATCTCTCAAGAAAGAATCATCTGCAGCATTCATGATGCGCCGACGACTCCGTGGGTATCTTACTTGGAAAAGTGATTTCAGTAAAATCAGCGCCTCCCTTTTTACTGAAGATCAAAAGGCAAGACTCGGCGGTAATCCCTCTTCCGGCGGACCTCGACGACAACCAGATTCCTTTCGTGGTAAAGCACCACCTAACAAACGAAGAAGACTCCGAGGGGGAGCTAGTGCTGCATCTGGACCAGGACGCAGTGCCACCGGAGTCATTACGATTTCGGAGGACAAACCTGTAAATGTAGCGGAGTTATTTTCTGGGGTAAAACCAACGGAAGAAGAGAAGGCACTCAAGCAGGAAATCGGAGTAGATCCGTTCGATAATATGGAGGATTATTTTCAGCCCTATGAGATGGGAGACCTGATTGTAGTACATCCATATGATGGGGATATGGATGAACGCGTCCTTGAGGAGCTAAAGCCTAGGTATGTAATTATGTACGAACTAGACCCGGCATTTATAAGAAGAGTAGAGGTAAGTAATTCTAAACTAATTCTTGCATGAGCATGGTGTGGTTAATACGTTTTCGATAAGGTGTACCGGAGTTCGCACAGAGACCGTAATATCAGGGTCTATTTTATGTATTACGGGAACTCGGTAGAGGAGCAACGCTATCTTAGTACGGTGCGAAAGGAAAAAGATTCATTTACAAAACTAATCCGTGAGAAGGGGGTCAGTTTTTCCACATGGCTAGAAGGGTCGGCGATCACTAACGGATCTAACAGAACATGTCGATCACCCTTACTCTCGATTCAAAGGGTGTAGACGACCCACAAGAGGTGTTCCTCAGAACAGTCAATACTAGAATAGCGGGTGGGGGCCGCCTAGTCGCAACTGCAGAACCTCCACGGGTCATCGTTGATGTCCGTGAGTTTCGTAGTTCTCTTCCTTCACTTCTACACGGCCGCAACACCTTACTTGTGCCGTGTACCCTAACGGTGGGCGACTATATCTTATCACCCGATATATGCGTTGAAAGAAAATCAATCAAGGACTTGATCGGATCGTTTAAAGATGGGAGACTCTATAATCAGTGTGAGACAATGTTGCTACACTACAAGTCTCCGATGCTTTTGATTGAATTCGACCAGAACAAATCTTTTAACCTGGAGGTACCATCGATCATATGTTCTCACTCGAATTCAATGTTGAAGTGAAAATACGCTAATCAAAGACGTTGGGGAGATATAGCCATTTGCAGATTTAACATCTACTATTGGGCAACATGATCTTCAGTCCAAGTTGGTGCTTCTGACAATCGCGTTTCCGAGAATCAAGATTATTTGGTCATCTAGCCCTTATCAGACTGCGGAGATATTTGAGGAGCTCAAGGTAGATCGATTCCCATTATCAGAAAATTCCTTTGAATGAAATCTAATATGCCCGTGAAAAGAAAAACCAGCCAGAACCTGATCCCCTAACAGCGATCAAAATCGGTCTCGAGGACGGGGAGGACTCCACAAACCCACGTGCACATAATCAGGCGCCACTGGTAAGTATGCCTTCTCTGTCCTGTTCACATCTGGATTTTAATGGCTTTGTTTTACCTTAGGATATACTCCGAGCGATTCCCGGAATAACGTCTAAGAATTACAAGAATATCATGATGGATGTGGAAAACATCGTAGAACTCAGTAATATGGAAGAAAAAGAGATAGCTGCACTTATTGGCCCTGAAGCGGCTAGGAAGGTGTACCAATTTTTCAATAAGTCTGTGTTTGAATAAGCTTTGCGCACGTTCTACATAATCTTTATCTGTCATTATAGACTTGTAATGGCTTGAATTCTCATGTTCGATAAGTAGCTATTAGTTAGTACAAGCATAATTCAATATAGGCAAATTTGACGACTCCTTTATTCTCTCTCCAAGGCCGGCGCCCAAACCCTGCCAGAAAGTCTCGAAGTGGCAGATTATGGGATAATATGCTTTACCATTGGTACGCATAGATTGCGCATGGGCACCTGATTAAATCGAGATTGAGAATCATGGACGCCCTGCAATTTCGAGGGCGCTGTCTTCCTTAGATCTAGTAAATCCCGAGCGTGTCTCGCGTCTTAGGCCATCAATCTAGATTACCGCCATGCAAATACTCTCTCAACTTGAATTTATTCCAAATTTATGTTCGAAAATGCCACGACTACTGAAGGCAGCGTGTTGCCTACTCTGCATCATCTACTTGTACTTCAAACGAGGAAAAGGGTGGCGCCAGCAGGAAGGGCAGCAACGGAACGCTGATTCTCAAGCAAATCCCGTTTGGCGTCTCAGAGAAGCGTGCAGGGAACTTAGGAGGGACAACATCGGATAGTAGAAAAATACAAGTGGGAAGACCTGAGGGATGGAAACACGGACACGGGAACATGAACGGAACACTGCTCCTATTACAATTCTTGAATGTGCCCGAGAGGCAAACCAGGTGTGGGCGAAAGCGGTTGCGGGCAAGTACTCGAGTGGGCACGTGCCTTCAGACACCGGAGACTGCGAATCAAAGTTTTGGCGCGGCTACTCTCTGGCTTTCCTATTCGACTACCCGATATACGTCACAGGCTATCACTCGATAGTATTCGATCCCAGATCTTGCCTTTTTACCACCTGGTACACGATAATGACAACCAGCATAAAAGATATTTGTGCATAAGACTATAGTCTGAGTGTCGATCTCTATATTATCTAATGAATGCGCATATGATTAACAAATGTGTAATCGCTATCAAGAAGGCCGGGAAACCATGACACACGGAGAATAACTACACCCAAGTCTTGTTTCTAGACCTTCTCCCCACACTCCGCATGCAAAACTCCGCTCCCTGATGCACTGGGAGCAGATAACGCCAAAAACCAATGCCAATCCGGCAGAAAAAACTCGAGCGAATTAGAACACGATGGTGGTGTGAACTTCTCCGCCCGACCTAAGATTCGAACCCAGGCCGTCTTCTGCTACGGCAACTTGGAGTTTGTATTACTCCAGTTAAGCGGATCTCTTACATGTGTGTAGTGGCCAAGTTTACTGTTTTAACACATAGGGACAGCCATGTGACATAGCTGGTGTACCCAAGACCGTGTTTCTTCCCCACCAAGTGACTCCTGGCGCCCCTCGGCCGGTGGATATCAAATTCCCATCCATAGTTGAGCCCTCGGGCGCTAGTGGTTGTGGATTGGTGCTCGATGGACGGATGTTCCCCACCACACATGGGATATCACTCGGTCCCAATACCCATACCAATTCCACCGCCAGCACCACCTCTACGACAAACCCAACCACAAACTCAGCACCCAAATTCAACACCCATTACCACCCCAATCTTCACCCTTCTCCCCCTCCCCATAAAAAACACCGAAAAGAAAATCCACCCTCTATCATTACCACCATTTCCCACCCCCTAGCCAACTAAACGATAAATACACTAACCCTACATAACTACATCGGAGGCTCTTGGACATACACGTATACGATTATTGGTTTGTCAAGAAGGCGAATACAGGATAGCCCCTAGAAGAGAAAAATCAAACAATTTGTTTTCTATGGCATAATTATTGTAGAACCTGTTGATGACCATGGGAGGCTAGTGTATCATAATTGGCGGCAGCAATGATAGTTGTACAGTCGATCATTGACCCACTGTATTACTAATAGTGGACGTTTATGCTCAACATTTGAGACGACAAGTGACGTGACATTTATCTCTCATATGTTATTTTGCTAATACGCACGACATGAAATACAGAGGACCAACGTATTCTTTGCTACCATATTGCATGAACTCGATTAATCCGGCTTAGTGCATGCGCAACAATTTACATCCGGCCTTCATCTGTGTGTACCTTTAGAGCAGAAACCATGCACAGGGCGGTTGTTGAATTTTGGGGACGACACGCTTCTCACAAGTTCTCTATAGCCAGAAGAGAATGGGCGATCAATACTTACTTCCTGGAATAGCGGCCACAAATACTTGAACCCCACCACAGGAAGAAAAAGCAGGAGTCAATAAGATATGGATATGTAATTTCTATCAATGTGCCATGGATATGTTTCATCATTGTGACAAACTTAAGCCACATCCATGCGTCGATAACAATTTGCCGTTGGTGTTGTAAATATACGTAACAATACTCTACAAGGAAGGGCTATGGAAACATGGATGTAACTTACAAAACTTTGTAACTTATTTGGTAGAAGTAAACAGTTTGAAAACTTGGTTGTGCAGTATGTAGGTTAGTGAGGCAGGTTAAATCAAACTAGATACACCAGCACAACATTGAAAAATAAACTAGCACATTGTAACCAGTCTTTCCCATTGATAACTCTGTTCTAAAACGCTAACATTATACAGAAATTTCACCCCGTGCACTGCTCAAAAGAAATACTTTACTGTGAATGGTTAAAGGAAAGTGGTAAGGGGAAGGTACGGTAGAGAGAGATAGCCACCCAAGTACTTTGTGCCTTTGAGGAATACGAGCAAAGAAGGAAAACATGGTAACAAAACCCGGAATAATCAATCATCTCTGTAAACCCAATTAGCAATTGAGGCTCTAAGCTCTGAGACTTACTGTCCTCCATCTCTACCAACACCTACGTAGTCACCAAAGTTGTGGATGCTAACATCCATCCGTTCTCTTACAGTCTCACTCACAGGCTCATCAAAGCCGTGGCCATTGACTTTAACCCCGTTCATTTTCAGCACATCAGCGACATCGCCCTCATTGGCAATACCGGCGGCGACAGCTTTGATAGCGGCTTCTTTTCTTTTCATCTTTGAAGTCTCTCCACGTATACTTTCAAGCTTCTTGAAGTAGGATGGATCCACGGGAGTGACGTATTCCCCGCTAAAGACTCCAACCTCAAAGTTCTTAATATGGCTGGAGAGAGAAGAGCAGGATTCGACGAGATCTGGGAGAGTCTGGTAAATGACCGCATCTGCACCGATATGCTCCGAGATTTCTTCTTCTGTTCGACCATATGCAACCAGCTCTTTGGTATCGGCAAGGTCGATCCCGTAGATGTGGGCATTCCTATACAAGAATCTCAATGAAGGTGACATGGCTTTAATAAAACTGGGTCTTACCTGATGGGGGGTGCACAGCTGGCAAAGTAAACCTTCCTTGCACAAGCTTCCCTAGCCATATTCACGATTTCCCGACTGGTTGTTCCTCGCACGATACTGTCGTCAACAAGCAAAACGTTCTTGTCCTTGAACTCTTCTTTCATAGCATTTAACTTCCTCCTTACAGACTTCTGCCTCTCTTTTTGCCCAGGCATAATGAAGGTCCTTCCAACATAGCGATTCTTGACAAAGGCCTGGCAGTACGGAATTCCCAGCTTCTGGGAAAGACTGAGGGCTGAAACCTCCGAGGTTGTAGGGATAGGAATGACAACGTCAATCGTTTTGACAATGTCTGCGCCAAGTTTTGCTAGAACAGTATTCGCCAAGGCCAATCCCATATTCTGCCGGGATCTATAAACCGAGATACCATCGATGATGGTGTCTGGACGAGCGAAATAGACATACTCAAAGATGTCCGGGGCGTGATTGAGGATAGGATGCACCTGTCTAAAGATAGGTTTACACCCTTTCTTAATGATAACAGCCTCCCCTGTTGAGAATCTGTTAGTTTTATGATCAATTTACACATGGAAGCCTCAAATCTTACCCGGGTTGATATTACGGTGGTTAGTGAAACCGAGTTGATCCAGCGCAACACTCTCGCTGGAAAACATATAATCCATCCCACCATTAATACCATTTCTCTCTCCCAGAACAAGGGGCCTAATGCCGTAAGGATCCCTAAACCCGATGATTCCAAACCCTATTGAATGTCAGTTCCATCAGGCAAACATTCACCATGATTCCTAGGATAATTGAAAACATTACCTGCAAGCATAGCTATACAAGCATAACCACCCTGGCACCGTTGGTAGATAGCCTTCAACGCAGTGAACAAATCTTCTTCGTTGACACGGAACTTTCCAGTCTCCTGCAAGGCACTAGCGAAGATGTTCAACAGTGTCTCGCTGTCAGAATCAGTGTTGATATGTCTATGCGCTTCGTGATCAAGGTAGTCTCGTAACTCTGATGCATTAATGAGGTTGCCATTCTGTTAATCATGTTAAAATACGTCGTTTTATGCAAAGTGCAAGAAGGGGATTTACATGGGCAAAGCAGATCCCGTATGGCGAATTTACGTAGAATGGCTGGGCTTCGGCATTTGCTGAGGAGCCGGCGGTAGGATAGCGCACTGTCGACACCCCAATACCATACAGTCAGACACCGCCTCGTATAAAATTTATCCATTCGAAAGACATTTACGTGGGAAACAATAACAGTGAGTGTAGCGCTAAACAAGGAATCGGAACTTGAGGTTGGAGCGATGCAGCATGAACCACTGCGATACATCATTTCAAATACGGGGATCCATATAGGGAACAAATTCAAGGGAACCATACAATGTCCGAGCCCCATGTTCCCTGGCAAATCCATAAGCTGTTCAGGGAACCTAAAGACCTCAGAACAAAGCCCATTGCCTTTGCGAGTATAAATTCGACCCCTCTGACCGCAGGTAGCAATTCCGCAAGCATCCTGCCCTCTGTGTTGAAGAATTGGAAGACCGTTATGGATATCGGTGACGGCAGATCCATTAGGATCAGCAAGGATGATTGCGATGATTCCGCACATCTTATATATCTTGAGCCAAAGAAATATTAGTTAAGGAAGTTATTGTTGTTTAGAAGTCGCAATGGATGGAAGGGGGGTTAAGCAAGTGCACAATCAGGAAAAAGATTTCTGCAGAGTCCCTCAAGGAGACTTAGAAGTCTAACATCTTAAAAATATAAAACATTCATCATGTTGTAGCAAGAATAACAATGTGAAACACGGCAAGACAAACGAAGCAAAAAATCTAGGTTTTCAACATACCCAATTGAACTCCGAAAAAACCTGCTATTTGCCCTACTTGTCGATCAATACAGCCTACTTGCTATGTCGAGGAAGCAAGTATGTTTTCCTAAACTTGATAATAGACCGGCGGTTGCGTGCGTGCTTGTGACGGAGAGGGAGGAGAAAAGTCGCCCAACCACAAATACAACCAGATGACCTCAACCGGAAATTGTTCTCGAGCTAGGGATCGGGGGGATCAGAAGTATAAAGACAACGAGCAGACTGAAACCCAGACTTGGCTAGTAAAGACGGGAGTAAAGTCACGGTTGTAAAAGGGTTCTCTCTCGCTGCCATCTTCCCCTCTCTGAGTGTTTGTAATTTCTTCGCTCCTAGGTGGAGTAAGAAATAGGGCACTGCGCGCCGGGCAACACGCAAAAAAAAAAAATTTGTGAAAAATTCCGTAGTGCAAAACTCTTATCCACTAGCGCGCCAAGATCATCTAGGATTGATGATTGCCCCCCACCTTTCCCCCATAAACCAACCCCCCCACTCAAAAACGCGAGCAAGCGAAACATCTGGAACAATGAACCAGAAAAATTTAAATTTAATTTTTGCATGTAATAATATCCAAGAATGATTTATAATACAGCATAACAGTTAACTAAAAACATAACGTTTCACGTTCTGTGTAAAACTACATGTACACCAAAAAATAAATTCTTTAAACCTACATTCCTACATGTACATGTATGTTTGTATACATGTATCTACTGTACGTAAGCACTTATTAGTGTTGGCCCGTCCGAAGGATTTTCTTACTTCCTTGCCTTCCCACGTCCCTTGGTTGAGGCTCCACTGCTGGCTTTTGATTTTGCTGCAGGTTTGCTTCTGGTCGTTTTGGGCTTCTCATCCCCAGAAGTTCCCCCCCTTCCCTTTCCCGTTACCTTCTTCGGGACCTTGACATATTTGTCTTTGCTTATATCCATTGAGTCGTCTTCGGCCTTTTTTGCTTCTGCATCTTCTTCACCAATGGCACCTTCATCCTCGCTTTCTACAATTGCGTCCTCAATGTCAGGGACTTCCTTTTTCACAGCCTTAGGTGCAGAGTCACTGGTGGCTTTCATGAACGGCATGGGGTGAGACATCTGGTTGTATCTGTATATACGTTAGTATAAAGCTTTACATTATTTTGTGATCGAGGGATCATACAGTCTAGTAAATGAAGTTTTCGTTTGAGAGGATATGTTTAAACTGCTATCAGCCATGGGGCCAACGCCAAGCTCTACGATAGCATCCCAATCCTCCTTTGTTAAGAAGTAATCATCCATGAGTTGAATGATATCTGGAATGGCATCTTTGCCTCCAGACTCAAGGCGTCTAACAATCAAGTTGTGCAAGGTTGGTATGTAATTTTGTCGGACTTCATGACGATCTCCAGACGCACGCAGCCGAATATGCGATTGAATTTCTTTAACATAACGTCCCAGTTTGCCTAGAAGTTGTGGAATTTAGCTAATAGCATCCAAGTATTACTTGCCAAGCAGACTTACCTTGCTTGGAGTTCATTCCCAACCACTGTGTGAAGGAATGTTGAGAGCCACCGTACCCGCCATACATATATGAGGATGGTTTCACAGTCGAAAACATGCCATGAACCGGCATTAGGCTCCATTGCTGCTGTGGCCCATGAATAAGTGCGTCAACCAAATCACCATCCGAGATACTTTCAGCAGCATTATCCGCCAATTCCAGTAATTTCAAGCCTCTCTCTCTTCCCCTAAAATTACCAGCCCTTGCAGGATTGGTTTTGAGGTAATTCTCTTGAACCATGAGATACGAAAACTCGTGGTCGTTGAAATAAAGCTCTATTTTGTCATTGAGCGTCTTTTTACTGTTAGGGTTGAACATTTCGGTGCCTAAAAGTTTCTGCGCAATATCCCAAGGTTTGAGGACTACATGTTTTTCCCATGATTTAGCTCTACTTAATGTCAGTTATCACAAGATCATCACTGTCGTCGTCCTCATCGTACAGCGGTATAAGGCGAGGTTTCTTACAAATCTTTACTTTCCTCAAAACTCATACTTGATTGAGTTGTGCTGTATGTAGACAACATATTAATGATTTGCCGAATATCCGAGTGTGTTCCCTCAACAAGCTGGTCAATGACATTTCCAGGAAGCTTGATTCCTTCGCGATAAGCAATAGACATAATTCTAGAGCGGACTTCGTTGACATTTGGACGCCTAAACGGCATATCAAATGTTACATTATTGAAAGGTTTCATTTTTTGCAGTTTTCGTTCGTTGCAAATGCAAATTATGGGAATCTAGGGTAATTAGATATTGGGACTTTTGATATGACCAAGATCGAGGACATACCTGAGTTTTTCTGCATAGACCTGCAAGTTGGCCTACACCGCCGCGGTCACCGGCGGACATACCGTCCACCTCGTCCATTATCAGAACAAGCTTCTGCTTAGAGGCATCGACTTTCTGTTTGTCTCCGGCAAAGTAGCCCATGAGCGACCTATTATCAAGAACCTCACGAAAAGTTTCCTACTTTGATGTCAATTGTGATTCATCATTAATATAGAAAAGTCATTCATACCTCCATTAACTTTTTGCTTCGAGTATCACTGGCATTGGTTTCAACGACATCATAACCCTCCAACCTGGCAACTAAATGCGCAGCACTAGTCTTCCCGATACCTGGAGGACCATGAATCATGGCCACCCGAAAAACCCCGCTTCCATCTTCTCCTCTCTTTTTAAAATCAGACTTCAAGTTTTTTGGCCAGTTTCTGAGCCACTTTTGTAACTTTTCCACCTGCCCTTTATTGCCACAAATTTGATTTATTTGTGTAGGGGCATATTTAACCGTCCAAAGCTGATCAGCCTCCTTTAGAACCGCCTCTTTACTCTTTGACTTGGTCACTTTATCCATTTCTTTTGCCATTTCGCGAATTTTGGTTTCTTCAATTGCTTTTTTGGCTTCGTTTGCCTTTGCGGCTGCGTGGTCGCCACCGTTTGCAGGAAGTGTACGAATCAAGTGGAATAAACCCTCCTCTCCAATTGTTTTTAAACCATGTTGTCGGATAGTATCTAGCTTTTTTGGACCAGCATCGTCACCTAGGACTACGTAAGACGTCTTTTTAGACGGTGCTCCGGTAACTTTACTATTCGTGCGTTAGGTCATGGGTGGGGGAAATGTATGGGAGCATTACATACCCTCCATATTTCTTGACAAGTTGCTGGCCATCCTCCCTTGATAAGCTTCCTAGAACGCCTGTGAATACAAATGTTAAGCCAGTCAAACAATTCTCTTCACCCTCTGGCATTTCCACAGTTCCTTGTGCCCCTGGGCCAGCCCTTTGTTTGAAGTCCCTAAAGTTAAACTTCTTTTCTTCCCCCGAACGCGGTGGAGGCGAAGGTGCTCTAACGGTGGGGACACTATCAAGTATTTTTCTGACTTCTTCGTCCTCGATGTGTTCTTCCTTCTTCTTCTTGGGAGCGGGAGCCCGTGTCTTCTTAGCAACTGGTTTTTTAGCCTTTGACTTTAACTTTTCATCCTCTTCCTCAACCTCCTCCTCTTCTTCCTCGTCCTCGGAGGGTAAAGATCTTTTTTTCGTCCTGGTTGTAGGTTTTCTCCTTGGCTTCATTACAACTTCTTCATCTTCATCATCAGAAGGCAATTTTTTCCGCTTGCTACTTGAGGCGGCGGGTTTCCTCTTTGATTTTGTTGCTTCCGCTTTTTCGTCCTCCTTCTCTTCATCGTTTTGCTCTGCGTCGGGAACGAAATCTTCCATCTCCTCGTCCCGCTTTTCTTCTTGGTAGTCGTCCTCATGCTTTTTGAACTGGTCGGCAAAAATTCCAAGATCGATATCGTCGTCATCGTCAATGTAATTTTCTTCCTCTGGGTTTACCTCCGGCTTCACTTTTTTCGGCCTGACTGGGGCAGTCCGTACAATTTTGTTTTTGCCGTTACTCTTGAAATAGTCAGAGGTAGTTGTGGGTTCTAATTTCTCTTCTTTCTTCGCAGATTTTGCTGTTGTTTTGGGCAATGCTATTTTCGGAGTTGATTTCTTTAGAGGTTCTTCATCGTCATCATCAGAATCTGGTAATCAATCAAGACTGGTTAGATCGAGCCTGTAAAATTGAATATGTCTAAACCGTACCGACGACCCTCCGCTTTCGAGCTGCAGCTTTCTTCTAGAAAAAATCGTACTGTAAGTGCCTTGAAAACAGTTTTGATTCAATCCCGGGGGTGAGAGCTACCTTAGCAGGGGTAGATGTGTATTTGGCTTTATCATTGAGTGAAGTTTGGCTGCCTCCTTTGGGAGCAAAGAAGCTTCTGATATCGGGCATCTTTATTTTTTTCCTGTACCTTTTTTTTAGTAGGCTTGGATGGCGCGTTCTTTAAATTGTTGAAGCTTGAGCAATTGGAGGCAAATAATAAACAGACGCGTTGAGAGGTGACGCGCTCAACTTTTCTTGTGGGAGCTAGACAATTTTCTGCTTTGGGTTAGACCAGATAAGTGCAGTTACCCTGTCCTTCCGTTTCACGTTCTCCCAGAAGAAAAATATCTAGTTAGCGAACCACTTTCATTATCGACATAATCATGAGCAAAAGACCTCCCCAAAATAACTCTCACGAAATGGATAATTCCAGGAAAAGAAAACGGCCGAATACCATCACTAGCGCAGGACCTTCCGTTGATATTACTACAGCTAAGCAATTGGAAAGTTTACTAGGGGACCTTTCAAGCCAGGAGGGTTTGGAAAAGGGTAAGATGAATCAACTAATTGATTTGGGATATTTGATTGACACGCAAAAGATTAACACATAAAAATAGGCACTCATCAGTTTTATTCATTTCTTATACAATGCTCCAGAATACATAATTGCTCTGAGGAAACCTTGCAACAAAATTTGAAAATTTTAAAGCAATGGTTGGAGACCCAAAGCAAGAATGCCGGTGACAGTGAAGAGGGGGAAGGTCAAGCAAACGCATTTAGAAGCATTCTTCAAGTTTGTAGTTTTGCTGCTCAGGTATTTACAAACTGCTCCTGGCCATTTCTTCAAGGCATATCTAAACAAAACTTCACCTCAGAAACCCTACCATACAGTAATGATGTCGGTCATGTCATCTCTGACTAGTCTTGTGCGCACGTGCTCGCAAAACGATGAGCTAAAGCCATACGGGACAGTATTATGCAAAGCCATTCTTCAGCCAACCTACTTGAAAATTGTGTATCAAAATTTGAGGTCTAATCACGACCGTATCTCCACACCAACATTAAAGTTACTCACTGAAATCAATAAATTTGATTTTGGAAGTATTTGTGGATTGCTGCATTCAGCATTTGATTTTACAACCAAAGATATCACTAAAAACTTTGGAATACGAGGAGGGAAGGAGGAGGTCATGGCAGCCACGGAAGAGACCAAAAAACCTTCGGTAAGAACATCATTTGTGAGGTTCCTTCTTTCATTTTTCCAACATGGAAGCTCCTCTGTGAAAAATGAGGTGCTCCAACAACGAATATGGATTACAACACTATTCAAAAATCTCAAATACGATGCACCTTTTGTTGTGCACGAGGTCTTGGAAGCCATTGGCAAGAGGATATTGGAAGATCGTGGTATTCCTCGAGCAACCAAAACAAGCATTTTCCATGAGGGGACACTTACCTCTATTCTCGCTCTATATGATCGCACTGATGTCGTGAATCTTGAAAGAGCGGGCAAGACTGAGGAAAAAGCAGTCAAGGAACTATCACATGAATTTCTGATGAAAACATGTACCACACCCGGCAATGGTGTTTGTTTCCCGGATTCTGGATGGTATCCGTTAAAGCGTAGCGAAAACGATGAAAAACGCGCCGGTCCGCTCAGTGTACACAATCGTACCCTCGCATCGTTTATCATAAAAGTCCGTCCATATTTCGACATCCTACAACAAGATCTTTTGTTAGAAATTTTCAAAGCCTGCCCGGAACTGGTTGCGAGTTACTTTCAGAGTAATCCTCCCTTTAGCTTTGACCCAAAACTTACATCCACATGGATCGGATATTGCGCCTTCCTCACATCTATTGTGCAACTACCTACGCCAAAAAACTTTGGTATGAGCGAGTTATCTGCTGTTCCTCCACCGGTCAATATTGCCATTGAGAACGTAGTTCCAAAACCGCTCAACAAGGCCACGTTGACAAAATGCTTACAAGAAAACTCTCTTATTAAATTTTTTGTCACTCGTCTTCTCATATTTTCGTTTCAAAAACTCCGAGCTGTACTTGGTGCGATTGATGATGCGTCAAAGTCAATGGTTGACCCTTCCTCAAATTGGATCCGAGTTCGATCTGAGCTTATTGAAGAGTTTTGTAAGCGGGTACCAGATATGTCCTTCCTGGTGGGCCTAGTCCACTCTTCTTTCAAAGGCAAGAACCAAATCCAAGGAAAATTGCAAAAGGAGGCTTCCAGCAGATTACTCGCGGATTATTTTGAATTGTTACCAGAGGTTGCCACGGCCGGAAATTTTGATATCTCCACTGCTCTGGGAAACTTTTTTGCGAACAAAGATAATGTGGAGGACAGAGGATTTAGGGTCCTAGAGATGGGGCATTTATTAAGAGTTGCAGAGGATGCCTCTGACATCAAGTGGTGGAATAAAGGTTCGTTTGAAAATTTCACCTGGAACGGGTTTGGTTCTAATCAAGCATTAGGCTCAATGCAGTTTTCGCCTTTCGTTTCAATCCTCAACATATGTTGCGGCCCTGCGTCAAAAATGCCTTTAAAACAGATCAGGAAACTTCTCCGCTCTTTTATCACCCCAAGCAATTTATTTCAGAGCGACACGATAGTATCACCGCTCGAGATCCTGCTGGAAAGCCTCTCCTACATACAAGATCCACTGGCCCTCAACTTCGTCCTCTTATTTATCGATCAATGCGCAATACGTTGTATACGTACTCCCTTCAAATACACCGATGACTACGCCGAGCTCGCTCTGGAAACCATGAGATCGAAACCACTGACGGAGAAATTTCCCGCCGTAAGCCCTCTAACTATGACACTAGTGGAGCAATGGAAATTCTTCATGAAGTCGGACTCAATTCCTACCGTAAAAGACACCGCTTCAATCTGGCTTGTAAGATTTCTTGAGTCGAGTGTGATATTAGGAGAGAATAAATATGTTCTCGCTGTATTGTGCGGACGTCTCGCTACAACTTGCGAAGAGACGGGTCATTTGCATGGTAAGGCAGTATTTACAGCGCTAAAGCTTCAGCTGGAAAACGAAAAGTATTTGGAGCTCGAGCGTGGGTCCCCAAACCATATCGCACCCGCTTCTCTTAATTATTCCTTATCGACTAGAAGGTTATTCAGAGACCTGTGTCATTTCAATATTGCCAACATCGAGCGAGTAACAAAGTCTATTGAAGAAAGCGAAATTGATGTATCGCTTCTGGATGTTGCAGTCGCTCAAAAGGCCATTATCTATGTTCTAGGATCTCAGAAGATAAGCTCTAATGATTCTTGCTCGGCATTGTCCAAGTTAATGGATCTTATGGAAGCAATTCTAGTACGCCTAAAGGAAGGAGAGGATACTGCAATCTGGAACGATGCCAAGAAAATGCTTGCCACTAACGAAGACTGGGTGAAATTATTCTTGGGACTACCTACAGAGCCAAGTGAAACCTCAACAAAATTACGAGATTTTGCAAGATACGCATACTTCTCAGAAAGTAAGTTAACATAATTAATCTAAATATACTCAGTAAATACTGACCTTTCTTCTCCAAGGATATTTAAATCTCCTTGGGGCCAGTTTTGATAGTTACGAGCCAATATTAAAAGTCATCTGCGTTCAAGCACAATCTTCCATCGAAAGCCTGGGTCGTTATCTTGAGGACAACCCGGATGACCACTTTACAGAGGTATTTTGACGCAAGAGTCCTAATCTACGATATGATGTTAATTTCTTGCTAGATTCTTTCTACGTACAAGTGTGTAATCACACAACTTTTTTCTTATGAGCACATGTTGGATTTCATCAAAACTTTTATTCTCGTTGAAAGTGAACCAAGTGAGCTTAAGTTTGAGATTCTAGCATTATTATTACAACAATTATCTTCAAGGGGGCAATACCTACCCCTTAAAGATTTGGAAACTCTTTTGGCGACAGGTGATGCACCCAAAACTTTTTATGATGCTCTTGCTGGATATATACTCTCTGTGCCGAAGGAAGAGATTGAAGATCTTGATACCGAGCATTACCATATGGATTTTGAGGCCGAATTGCACGAATGGATGGTCTCACTTGATTGTGCCTTGATAAGGCAGGTCAAGTCTGTGCGCGAAACAGCCCTATATACCTTAGACACGAATTTACGCAACGGAAAAAATATTCCACATCTGGAAAGGCATTTCTCGACATTTCTAGCAAGTTTTGCGGTACCTAGGGAAGACGCTGCTGGATTTGAATGGGAGAAATCAGCAGGCTCAGAGATTAAGCAAAAGATGGAGAGACTTTTCTCTGAGATCCAAGACAAGATGTTTGAAAATCCTCCTGATGCATCTCAAACTGAGGCTTTCCTGATGGCGGCATCGCTGTTGAACTCGATGGACAAAAACCGCCTTCTTAAATTTATCACAACTGATAACCGAAGAAGCACTTTGACGGCGAATACAGCCGCACTGCTCAACGTTTTGATTCGGGGTATGAATTCAGGGGAGGCAGAGTCTGTTGAACTACGTAACTGGCTGTTAATGGTGTTTGATCACCTTACAAGGCGCTTTGCTGAGGACAAAACGCTCTCCGATAAGATTTTGGACTTCACCAAGCAACTAGGTATGTTCTCCTTCCAGATATTTCACTAGGAAAAATTCTAATGTTATCAGGGCTGTTGCTCAATCTTGGAACGATCAACCTCAATTCATCTGTACCACGACCAACACTGAACGCCGTTCTTGAAGTCAGTTTGGAAAAACATATCCATATACCGGAGGTAGTTTATTTCGCCGCCGTGATAGTTTCTCAGTTGCCGGCAAATGTAAGATACTGGTTTCTTCCTAATACACTAATAAATACTAACACTTCAATTTCGAAGGCTCTTGAGGTTGCAAAACTACTACAGATTGTTCTTGGCCATGCTCAAAATCCTCTCCTTCTACGAGATAACTACTTCGATACCCAGGAAATCTCATACCACACGGCGTTTCTTATCTACAGACTGTTTTCCATGGCCAGTTCTAGACAATCTAACGTCACTACTTTAGATGGGGTTCTGTCTCTTTATCGAGGTTCAAATAATATTATCGATGCCGCCTTATACATGATCATCAGCGATATCGAAGCGCATCTGGCGCGCAGTATTGGGGACCGAATCGCCTCCTGGATAGTTGTGGAGAGTTCAGATATACCTTTGGTTTCACGAGTACGAGGACGTCTTACAGTCACAATTGATTCAAAAACACTGGCAAGGAGCGTCTTTCAATCTTCACCCAATCGACCAATAATTCCGAAGGAAAAATTGGAACAGCTAGAATCCTTCATGACCATATCAAAAAATGAGGATCAACATTTCTCCAAGACTTATGACCTTGGGTTTATTCTACCCGCTCTCACATTTTGTCTCCATTCAGAACAACAAGTTGTCGAGATCACAACTGTCATCGAAAGACACTGCTTGGGGTTCGCCATAACAGGTCTTTGCTCCGACCGCAGCCATGTGCGTGATATGGCGATTGGATTCATTGTAACTTCAATCTCAAAGTTAGAGGTAATAATTCCCTCCGCTCCTTCCAAATAAATAACTAGATCTAACCTCACTAGAAATCGTCACATCGCGAAAAACACCAAATTCTTGAATTGCTCTGTACACTAGTCGCCTCAATCAGCGATAAAGCGAAAAAAGATGGCGAACAAGGCTTGAAGTACCCGATTCCAACCGTCCTTGGCGTCTTTTTCGCCCAGTGTGTTCAAATTGTTGTAAACCCTGGGCATTTCCTCTATGAGAAAATTATGACATTGCTTCTTCAACAAGGACCAATTATGGATCTTTACGATCTGCCCTACATCCTACAAGTCGCGAGCCCAGAAAGGGGCGATGACTACTATAAAGAGATCTCGTGGGTCCTGGGGGTACTGGTCGCAGGGTTAAAAACAACTCAAGTATAAACCTAAATCCACCATTTCTATATCGACAATACTAACCAGAACACAGGACCTAGCGATCTACCACAACCGCAAGATTTTTGGTGGCTGTCTCAATGCTTATGTTGCACCCCACTGCAGCGACAGAGCCAAAGAGAGGATCCTTGAACTCCTCTGGAACACCGCCGCCGTTGAAGGGGGTGCAACCACACTCATTACTCGTAACGCCATCATGTCCTTCATCGAGACCCAGGCATGCAGTGCCGAAAAGGATGATTTGGTTCTGTTTAAGAGACTTTCTGCTAGACTCTATGAGGCATCGTCGAAGGGGCATGTAAAGGAATGGGCAAAGGGTAATCTGGAGGCTCATCTGGAGGATATCTTCGTAAAATAGGTAGGGGGATACACAGAAATTAGTGATACCATGTGAAGCGAGAAATCTGTTACTATCGGCTCTGAGATTTGGGTAGTAATTTAGGGCTTGTGGGATTGGTGTTTTCTTTTTTTCATTTTCATGGCATTTCAATCATTGCCATGTGTTAGGATCATATTATATCACTCGAATCTCAATCATAACCAAAAAAAAAGCCATACTTATCGTTCAAGTATCAATGATACTTGCTTTATCACCCTTCGTGCTAGTGATAGGATAGTAGGTGCACTCAACCATTGGCTCTACGACATTATCAAATAAAAATCTCACACATAAACCAAATCTCGGGTGGAGTCATGATTGCACTTTCAATGACTCCTTCTGAGTCCTTCACAACGTTTGAGTCATAACACTCAACCACGAGCTTGTGTAACCCACATTAGCTTATCACGGATGGCTTACCACGTGACATGAGTCACCACGCGTCGGCCACACGGTCCCCCGCAACGCGTCTTCATTTAACGCGTCTTCCCCATGCGTGTTCCCAGGTGTCTCCCCAGGCTGCCACACTGCACCTCCGAGAGAGCTGTATATTCCCCCAGAACATCACTACTTCTTTCCCGCAAAATGTCTTCCACGCCCAGAAAACGAAAGGCCGAAGCGAGTAGCAGCACCAATGCCACCAGCACAAAGAAGAAAACTACATCTACCGCTACGGCTGCGACGGTATCCAACTTCTTCAAACCGGCATCCCAAAAGGAGCCGGAGCCAACGGCGTGGAGACTGGTCTCAAAGTCGCTGTTGGTCGGAAAGTATCAACCCAAGGGGACAGTCGGGATTGATGTAGCCGCGGCGGGGAAAGTCAAGATTGCTGGATTCGATCTGGTGAGTCAATGCCGTATCTTCTGTAGTAGATACATGTATCCGGCAGTACCGGAAAGCTAACTGGCAGCGATTAAACAGGACTCTACCCTCATCTCCACACTTTCGGGAAACAAGTTCGCCAAAGACGCTACGGACTGGAAATGGTGGGATCCGTCTGTGCCGACCCGGCTTAAATCGCTGCAAGCCGAAGGCTACCAGCTCGTCATCTTCACGAACCAGAACGGCATTCCCGACCCGGCCAAAGAGTCGGTACGCCTAACGACGTTCAAGACGAAGCTCGCGGCAATCTTTAAGACGTTGGATATACCAGGTATGTTGGTGTATGCAGCGACGGCGAATGATCAGTTTCGGAAGCCGAGGCCGGGAATGTGGGAGGAGCTCTTAGACGATCTGGACTGCGATGGGGCAGTACCGGAGAGGGCTGTTGAGTTGAAGAAAAGCTATCTAGTTGGTGATGCGGCGGGGAGAGAGGGCGACTTCTCAGATACGGATCGGTATGTGTGCCTACTTGTCCCTACAATTAAATGTCGACATACTTAACCGGCGCAGGAACTGGGCAATTAATCTCAAAATCGGGTTTCACACGCCTGAGGAATACTTTCTTTCACAAGCTCCAAAACCTATGTCCCACAGGTTTGACCCAGCACTCTACACAGCCCCTTCCACCGGTAGTAGCAGTATCGAATCTTCGTTCACCCCCAACCCCCAGTCTCAAGAGGTCGTTCTTTTATGTGGCTCTCCCGGCAGCGGCAAGTCCACGTTCTACCGGCGCCATCTCCTTCCCCACGGCTATGCGCACATCAACCAAGATACCCTCAAGACCAAGCCGCGCTGCCTTAAGACCGCGCGTGAGCACCTCTCTGCAGGCAAGAGCATTGCCATTGACAACACTAATGCTGATAGTGCCACGCGCAAGCTGTGGATTGAGCTGGCAGGCGAGTTCAGTGCGCCGATCAGGTGCGTGTACTTCATAGCAGACGAGGCACTGTGTATGCATAACGCTGCTGTGAGGGCGTTTGGTGGGGCTTTGGTGAACCCGGAGGGGAGGGAAATGTTGCCGAGGATAGCGTTTGCCGGGTTTAAAGGAAGGTTTGTAGAGCCGAAGGTGGAAGAAGGTTTTGCGGAAGTTTCTAGAGTGGCGTTTAGGTGGGAGGGTGGGGAGGAGGAGAGGGGTGTCTGGAGTAGGTTTTGGACTTAGAGCCTTCTACTTCCTCCTGTCTTTCTTTTTGTTTTAGAAGCTTTTCTAGTTTTTTTTTTTTTTTTTTTTTAGTTTTTTTTGTGCATAGTTAATGCGGATACCACTGTTTCTGTTATGCCACTCTTACTTTCTTGTATGATTTTGAAGTGGCACGTGTTATGTGTCCATCTGACAGCAATTAGTATAAAACACCTACAGTAAAGGCCCATCAACGCAAAAACTAAAAAGGAAGAAGAGAGAAGGAAACAGCCAGAGTCACATCTCCCTCTATTGGCCCAGTTCAAGGCGAAATAAGATGTCCGGTTGTTGCCATAGCTGAGGGGGGCGGCACAGTTACAGTTAGCAAGTTGACCTGAATTGCCGGGGCTTGGCCTGTCCAGTGGGGGAAATTCTGTTCCGCAAATTGCAGTTCGTTGAAGAAGTGCGCACATTCATACACAGGAGGTTGGTGGGTCATGGTGCACTTCCTCGTGGCCGATTTTCATGGAAGGGTTAGGTTTTCCTAGCTCGTCTTACCCTCACCCCCTTAAGTACATGTATTACTTCCGGGCCACTGAAAATTGTGTGGGCGAGTGTGGTCTAGGACTAGACGCCTCGTCATCGGAGGACACCGAGTGGGTTGAGTCCCCATGACCATCAGTAGGTCATGGGTTCAATCCCGGGGTGGGAGTCTATACTGAGGTGTATGTGTAATAAATGGCACCAAACCCCCTGAAAAGCATGCCCTCAGCAAGACTTTTTGTTCCTTTTGTTTCAAAATTTATTGCCATTTTTCTGGAACTGATTGTGTCCTCCTAAGATCTCCTGGTGGATTGGGTACCTATAATCTCGATCGATCTCTCTGGCTCCATAAGGGTAGCTTGGGCCCTGTTAGCTTCTTGCTTGACACTTGCTCATTACATGTACATGTAGTTACATGTAATCTCATCCTTACTTCCAGTGAGCTTGTCTTTAAACTCCATTCAATTAATGATCAGGCAGGGCGTAGGGTAAGGTTTTAGCAGTATCAGTACGGCATTGTTAAAGACAGCGGTAGTAATTTCATCCACATTTCTGTCACTGTAGATAGATGGCCCATGGCCAGCGCGTTCAGCTTACTATAATCATTGCCAGTTCCTGAAACGGTTAAGCTTAATTCAAGAGCGAGTGATAAATATATGTAGTGATTTGCAAACCAAGTATCCACCAAAGGTGTAGCTTAGAATGTAACTTTGGATAAGAACAAAAATGAACTAGTCTTTGGAGGGATTAATCCCGGGCCGGCCATGGTTATTGTCCATGTATGTGTATAACAATCTTATTCTCGTGCCGACTATTTTACAGAAATGAGATGAAGGACAAGATCCTGTTAGGCCTGAGCTAGGCTTGCTAACATAGGCCGATGAATACTTACATGTATGTAGATATATGGGAGCACACGTTAAAATATAGTGGTTGATAAACCTTAGCTCATCAGAAATACCGAGTGATATTTTGTGAGCCATCACGTGAAGAGGCTCTACCTTATCCGGAGAGGCATGGGAGTTTAGAAACACACTCGAAAGTGCTGTGGGAGGAGGTATTCCCTAGATCGAAGCAAAATCCTTCGAATCAGGCATAAAATTGGTTTTAATAGTGAAATTGTTATAGTATCTCAGTATTCCACTTTTTTTATGAGATTTTCAACTGATACACGTCCTTGGCGCGCTAGTCCATCTCCATCCTTATCTAAAGTGGAAACAACGCTCGACGCGTTGCCGCCGCGGGTCCGAGTATTGTCTGCAATCCGCGACACCTCCTCATATTATACGCAACTTTGCTTTTCCTCGGGCCCCTGGGTGTATTTATTCTCGTCGGTTTTGACGTCGGTTTTCTTACCTTGCTAGCAGTAATAAATTAACGGTGCCATGGGTATCACAGGTAAAATACACACTCACCCTTCAGCCTTATACGTAAATATTGTGCTTACCACCCCCTACAGGGCTCTACAAATGGCTCGATTCTATCAAGCGTGTAGAACACGTCAAGAAATACAACGGCCTCACCCTTGGAATCGACACCTATAGCTGGCTACACAAAGGTGCATTCTCTTGCGCCCTCGAGCTCGTCCAGGGCACACCCACAACCCGTTATGTAGACTTCTGCGTCGAGCGCATCAAGATGCTACAGTATCACGGTGTCACACCCTACCTCGTCTTTGACGGCGATTACCTCCCATCTAAAGCGGATACTGAGGCAGGCCGCGAAGAACGCCGTGAAGAGAGTAGGAAGAAGGGCCTCGAGCTGTTAAAGACGAATAAGAAGGAGGCTATGGATATACTGCAGAAGGCGGTGGATGTGACGCCAGCAATGGCGCGTGCGGTCATACAGGCATGTAAGGAGCTCGGCGTCCAGTATGTCGTTGCGCCATATGAGGCGGATGCGCAGCTGTACTATCTTGAGAAGATAGGTGTTATCGACGGCGTCATATCCGAGGACTCGGACCTACTGGTATTTGGTGTACGCCTGCTGGTGACTAAGATGGATCGTTTTGGAGACTGCGTTGAGGTTAACCGCGCGGATTTTACGAAGAATAGAGACATTACGCTAGCAGGATGGACGGATGCGGAGTTTCGTATGATGGCGATATTGTCTGGGTGCGATTATCTGCCGAGTATCAGGGGCATTGGGCTCAAAAAGGCACATGGCTACGTGCGCTCTCACAAAACAGTTGATCGTATTGTGCGTGCGATCAGGATGGAGGGGAGGATGACTGTGCCGCCAGACTATCTCGAGAAGTTCAAGCAGGCGGAACTCACATTCCTGCATCAACGGGTGTGGTGCCCGAAGGCCGAGATGATGGTGATGTGCAATGAGCCAGAGGAACCACTTACCGGGGAAGCTCTAGTATTCATCGGCGGGTATGTAGCTCACCCGATTCCTGCTTCCGCCCCGTCTTAACACCCAATAGAGTAGTAGAACCTCAATTAGCCCGCGGGATTGCACTGGGCGAACTCGACCCAATAACTAAGCTCCCTTTTGACCCCATTCCAACGACTACGCATACAACAAGAGCCTACCCATCACAGCCATGCATAACCGTAGGTCACCCCTCGTGTTATGCCTACCTGTTTCTAACCCCTTATCCTAGTGCTAACCCACCCGCAGGCCCGGCCCCGTCCCCGCCCACCCACTGCAAAGCCTGTTAGCATCGCAACATTCTTCCCAAAAACTTCAATGCCAAGGACACCACTCGCTGCAAAATCGTCAAATATTCAAGCCATTCGTAAAGCCTTCACCGCACCGAGACCATCCTCGGCATCATCATCATCGGAGTCGTCATTTTCATGTCCGCCTAAGAAGCGCGGCGCAGAGGAAGCACCCAAAACAGACACTCCAATCAAGAAGTCGCGGACGTTTGCCGCGGGTGAGAACGTGAGAGTTACGGGCGAGCGAAGCGCCTTCTTCAATACTCCAAAGCATCTGCAGTCGCGTCGCCCACTTGCCGTAACTGTGGAAACACCTACGGCCAAGAAAACAGTCGCCGAAAGCGCTCCGATTCCCCCAACCGTGGCGGACCCCGACCTGGAAAAAGCAATCCAGGCATCACTGCAGCCCGAATATCTCCCTGACATGGAGATTGAAACCGGTGTTCAGAAGGTTGCGCGCTCACTCAAAGCCGATTTTTCAAAGAGTGGTCATGGGAAACTGGCGAAGTTTGTTGAAAAGCAACGGGTTGGGGCGGTGAAGGCACGGTTGAGCACGAGTGCAGCGGGGGTAAAGAAGAACGGCGGGTTTATGCAGCAGTTTAAGAGGGCTGTCGGGACAAAGATGCAGATACCGCATACGGTAGGCGCGGGTGAAGAGAGTCAGGACAGTGCTGGCGGCGATAGTCAGGGTGCAGGCTTTGGGCTTGGCGTTGGTGTAGAGGAGAGCCAGGGCAGTGACATTGAGTGCCAAAGGGAGTTTGGACGTGGTTTGGAGACGTTTAGGTTGAAGCGGTAATGGTTTTTCATCCAGAGATTCACGAAGACTATTTTGTGCCTTTTTTGTTGTCGTTTTGTACTGAATTGGCGTTAGTCTTTTTTTGGTTGTTGGTTTCTTCTGGCGTGGGAGCGTTTTTATTCTTTCCTTTTTTTATATTCTTTGAATTGGTTAAACCAATGGGGTAATTATGAATATATCACAAACAAGTGTAATATCTCAATAAATTATAGCGATATCAGACTTCTGTCTGAATTCGTTGTTGTTAACTCCCCAAATCCGTTTGTTTCTAATTCCATACCGCACTAGAAGAGGTTACAGTAGGCATCAATGCTCAATGATACTTCTACCGTTTTTTTATGCAGTAGACGCTCGGCAGTTTAGCACGGGTAAATGACGTAATTAAACTTCTTATTGCATGCAGCAGCTTAACTCCGTAGATTAGATATACTTCCCCGCGACAGCATATCGCCGAATCTCTAATGCTTCTACCAAGAGCCAGTGTTCTAAAAACTCGTCTACTAAAAACTCGTCTACTACAACCGCTTAAATTCGCGCAACAGTCTCGAGCTATGCAGATAAAGTCGATTCCAATGTGTATGTTGCTGCACTTGTGCTCTACAGTGCGCTTGAATTAATTTGATGTAACTTAGGGACCGGGAGCCATGATAACTATGCGTATCTGGTGGTAGACGACAAGACGAAAGATGCAATGGTTGTAGACCCAGCGAACCCGCCAGAGTATGCCTTGCGCCCTTGCGATTGTCTGTTGAAGAGGGTTTAGCTGACGATGGGTGTGTAGGGTGCTACCGTACTTGGAGAAGACGCTAGCGGCGGAGGGGATTACTCTGAAGGGTATTATCAATACGCACCAGTAGGTTAAGTCTTCAGGGCGGATCGGGCTGAGTATAGCTAACTCAGACACTTGAAAGTCATTATGACCATGCCGGCGGTAATAAAGAGCTGGTGAACATCCAAGCTGCTTCTGCCTTCCAGGCTGACTGCTAACATTCTCTCTCCCGCCAGCTCAAACACTATCCGGTCCCAATCCTCGGCGGAAAAGACTGCGAGGGCGTGACAAAAATCCTCAAAGATGGCGAGACCTTCACCATTGGCAAGGGGATCAGCGTCAAGTCATTGCACACACCGTGCCATACTCAAGATAGTATCTGCTATTTTGCCCAGGATGGAGATGAGAAGGCAGTATTTACGGGGGATACTCTGTTCATTGCCGGTAAGTGGTTGTATATGTGTTGGACTAGGGAGTTTGTTCAATAATCGTGGTTGTAGGCTGTGGTAGATTCTTCGAGGGTACGCCAGAGGAGATGCACAAAGCGCTGAATGTGACGCTGGCTTCACTCCCGGACGATACGAAGGTCTACCCGGGGCATGAGTATACAAGGTCTAATATCAAGTTCGGACAGCATGTCACGGATACGGTGCCGGTGCAAAAGCTGGCAAAGTTCTGTGCAGAGAACGAACAGACACAAGGGAAATTCACCATTGGGGATGAGAAGGTGTGTGATGCTTCCCTGCTCGATTTTATGGTGGTCTAGCTTATGTTGCTTACTTATGCTGACGATTTCTAGCAACATAACGTTTTTATGAGGGTTGATGTTGGTGATATCCTTCTATAATTTGAATTTCGATGCTCTTCTGGAATGTCAGCTAATATAAACGGCGGTGTATAGGACCTGGCTGTTCAGCAAGCCACCGGTGAAATTGAACCAGTTGCGGTTATGAAGAAACTTCGGGAGATGAAGAATAGTTTCAAGTAGTTTGGTCCTTTGTTTGACCTTTGTTAAACTACTTTATCTAATTAGTCTCTAATATTTGCGTAGACCTCCTGTGAAGTCTATATTGTAGAGTTGTGCGTGAAATATGGGGGCTGGTGTGTTTAGTTTGTGTCTCGAGATTTAATCCATATCCCAGGTAGTCCATTAATGATTTACTTATAAGTTTGAACACTAGCTGGATATTTCTTAAGTTGGTATTTCGGGAGTGTTCGCATAATTTCAGCAGACCTAAGACAAGGAATCAATGTTGATATTAGGGTTAGGGGTGTGCTTTCGACTCATATGAGGCTCTGTCAACCCCGCGCCGCATAAAAATACCCCGCCATCCCATCTCGAAAGTCCATCGCAACGAAAAACCCCACCAACCATAGCACTTCCGCCCACAAATCCTCAAATCTAATAAAGCTCAACCTTAAAATTTAGCTTTTATGGATTTCCCCAAGGAAGAAGAGAAAATCCTCGAGTTCTGGAGGGAGATTGATGCCTTCAGGACCTCGGTCAAATTGTCAGAGGGGAAGACGCCGTATTCTTTTTATGACGGACCTCCGTTCTGTACTGGGTGAGTTGCTCTGAAGATAATTGTGAGCTTTGTGGCGGAAGCACTAAACGTTTTTTGATCTGGGTGTACAGATTACCGCATTATGGTACACACACCCACATTGTAGTTTTCTTGTTTGTGTACTGACTTTTGGTTCGTTTGACCGAAGGCCACTTGCTCGCCAGTACCATCAAAGATATTGTCCCCCGTTATTGGCACATGAAAGGTCACTATGTCGAGCGAAGGTTCGGTTGGGATACTCACGGTCTCCCCGTTGAGTATGAAATTGACAAAAAGCTTAACATCACCTGTAAGGACGATGTTATGAAGATGGGCATTGATAAGTACAATGCCGAGTGCAGGGCTATTGTCATGAGGTACTCCACAGAATGGAGACAAACCATCGATAGGTTGGGTCGCTGGATCGACTTCGACAATGACTACAAGGTTAGTTTGTAAATTTCTGTTAAAGATCGGGTTGCAGTTTCGGCTACTGACAAGTACTAGACCATGTACCCGACATACATGGAGTCCATATGGTGGGTTTGCAAACAGCTTTTTGACAAAGAACAAGTGTATCTTGGATACCGTGTTATGCCCTACTCAACTGCATGCACCACCCCTCTTTCCAACTTCGAATCTCAACAGAACTACAAGGATGTTCAAGACCCTGCCATAGTTGTCAGCTTCCCACTGGTAGAGGATCCCACTACCGAGCTTCTTGCTTGGACCACCACACCTTGGACGTTGCCCTCTCACACTGGAATTGCGGTCCACCCAGATTTTGAGTACATCAAGATCAATGATCAGACTTCTGGCAGAAACTACATCCTTCTCGAGTCATGTCTGAAAACTCTATACGGAGAGAAGGGGCTCAAAAAGGCAAAGTACACCATTGAGAAGAAGTATAAGGGTAAGGATATGTTAGGATGGAAGTACGAGCCGCTTTTTGACTACTTCTATGAGGATTTTAAGGAATATGGTTTCAAGGTATTGAATGCTACCTATGTCACATCGGACAGTGGTACGGGGTTGGTTCATCAAGCACCTGCATTTGGTGAGGAGGATTACAATGTCGCGATGGATGCGGGAGTCATCACGGAGAAGCGGCCTCCGCCAAACCCGGTCGATGAGTCTGGTATTTTTACTAGCCAAGTTAGAGATTTCGCTGGGCTTCACGTTAAGGTACTTCTTTCTAGCCCGCTATATATCAATGATGTATTAACATGTGAATTGAAGGCTGCAGACAAGTCTATCATTAAATATTTGAAGGAGAAAAAGAGACTCATCGTCGATGGTCAAATCACCCACAGTTATCCATTCTGTTGGCGTTCAGATACCCCTTTGATTTACCGGGCCGTTCCCGCTTGGTTCGTCCGTATCCCCAGTATCATTCCCCAGATGTTGAAGAACATTGAGGGCTCGCATTGGGTTCCTTCAAATGTGAAGGAAAACAGATTTGCAAGTTGGATTGCAAATGCTAGGGACTGGAACATCTCTCGTAATAGATATTGGGGTACACCGTTACCCATATGGGTTTCTGATGATCGTGAGGAGATTGTGTGTGTTGGAAGTGTAGAGGAACTCAGGGAGTTGAGTGGATGCGGAGAGATTCCGGATCTCCACCGCGAAAAAATTGACCATATCACCATCCCGAGCAAGAAAGGAAAAGGTGTTTTAAAGAGAGTGGAGGAGGTCTTTGATTGTTGGTTTGAGTCTGGAAGCATGCCTTACGCCAGCAAGCACTACCCTTTCGAAAACAAGGAGCAGTTTGAGGGCTCTTTCCCAGCTAACTTCATTGCCGAGGGATTGGACCAGACGCGTGGATGGTTCTACACCCTCCTTGTCCTTGGTACACATCTCTTTGGGGTCTCTCCATTCCAAAACTGCATTGTCAATGGTATTGTGCTTGCCGAGGACGGAAAGAAGATGTCCAAGCGTCTCAAGAACTATCCTGACCCTACATTGGTCATGGACAAGTACGGTTCTGATGCTCTGAGACTGTACCTCATCAACTCACCAGTTGTCAGGGCACAGCCGCTGAGGTTCAAGGAGTTGGGTGTCAAAGAGGTTGTCGCCAAGGTGCTGTTACCGCTTTGGAACAGTTACAATTTCTTCGAGCAGCAGGCACAGCTATTGAAGAAACTGACTGGTAAGGAATACAGGTTCAGCCCTGAGTCAGGTGGTAACAAGAATGTGATGGACAAATGGGTTCTGGCCAATTGCCAGAGTTACTTGAAATTTGTGAATGAAGAGATGACTGGTGAGCTCACTCAAGATTTGACTGTTAATATCCGTTGCTAATCAGATTTAAACTCTCAGCATACCGGTTGTACACCGTGGTCCCTAGAATGCTGGAAATGATCGACAACACAACCAACTGGTACATTAGATTCAACAGAAAACGTCTGAAGGGTGAATATGGCCTCGAAGACACAACACATGCTCTGAACGCACTCTTTGAGGTTCTATTTACGCTTGTGCGTGGCCTCGCCCCATTCACACCATTCTTGACAGATAACATCTACCAACGCCTGCGCCCCTACATTCCCGAGTCACTCTTACCCAAGGATTCCAGAAGTGTACATTTCTTGAGCTTCCCAGAGGTTAGAGAAGAACTGTTCGATGAGGATGTTGAGAGGAGATTTGGCAGAATGCAGAAGGTCATTGAGCTTGCACGTGTTTCCCGAGAGAGGAAAACTGTCGGCTTGAAGGTAGATAGATCCAATCACTTATAAATCACTTTTGACGCTAACCGACATTTCAGACACCTTTGAAAACACTTGTTGTCATCCACAAAGACCAACAATATCTCGACGATGTCAAGTCTCTCGAATCTTACATCACCTCTGAGCTTAACGTCCGCGATCTTGTCCTTTCATCGGACGAGGACAAGTACGGTGTACAATACAAGGCTGTTGCCGATTGGCCTGTCCTTGGAAAGAAATTGAAGAAGGATCTTCCCAAGGTCAAGCAAGCTCTCACTAAGCTAACGAGCGCTGAGGTCAAAAAATTTGTTGAAGACAAGGAAATTATAGTCGGTGGGATCACACTTGTGGCCGAGGATCTCAACGTAGTCCGCGAGCTCGGGGAGTCATCAGGGCATATGGAGACAAACACAGATAACGATGTCCTCACCATCCTTGACACAGAGCTGCACAAGGAGCTGGAGAGTGAGGGACTTGCGAGAGAAATTCTGAACCGTGTTCAGAGGTTACGAAAGAAGGCGGGTCTCGTGGCTACAGATGATGTGAAGATGGAGTATAGAATCCTCAAGGACCCGATTGGACTCGAGGAGGTCTTTGTAGAGCATGGGGATACTCTTGAGAAGGCTCTTCGAAGGCCTCTGGATAAGGCCACCATCACGCACATTGAAAAAATAAATCCAGGTGAAGATATGGACAAGATCATTATGGAGGAGGAGCAAGAGGTTTCAGAAGCCACATTCTTGCTGAGGCTTCTAAAGCTTTAGGGGTTTAGTGATTCTTAGATATATTCAATTTATTTAGAGTTCAAACGTCTTAAGGAAGCCTAAAGATTCATCGATCAAGGAAAGAAGAGAACCATGTAAAACTGGATTTCTATCATTAAAAGCACCCATGATGTATGATACCATGTAGTACAAATAACTACAACTATAATTTCCACGCCGCACCAAAGTAGGGTATGGCGCGAGACTACATTTACGCATGTGTTAAATACCGAGAATTCGAATTCTCAATACTTCTCCTCAATTTCTCGTGTAATCAGAGCCTATATGTATCTTATTGCTCGCCACGTCTTTATTCAGGGACATGCGACTCCCAACAAATAGCCTCACGATAATTACTACTGGTTTACAGCACCTAATAAAGTATTTTATCTAGAAACTAAACAGCCATGGCGAGAATCCTAGAGTAGATATATGTTAGCCTTATCCCCAGGCCCTGATTTAATTCTGCTATACCGTCGATTTCGGGCTTCCGAGTCTAGAGGATATATTGTTGTCGCTCTTAGTCACTTCCGGTATGCCAAGAGTTATATGGGTATATCAAGTCTTCTATCTATATATTGCACGATATTAAGTCGATCAAGCAACCAAGTCATGACATAAATCTAAACCACATATAGATATCCTATGTTCTATAAATAATGCCAAATGAGGATATTCCAGCGAGACAGAAGCAAAATCAACAGCTGAAAAATGATGGAGTTTTGGGCATTCATGAAGGAGCCAGTCGTGCTATGATTCTGGTACGCCAAGAGTTATATAATGCCTGTATTATAATATGTACTGTAGGTACATACATGCATAATAAAGCAACCAGTATCGTACACTTCACTTTACATTGATGTTCTCTTTTTACCTTCATATTCCCGTATCCACTAGCAACAGAACAGGACCTAGAGCCAAGAAATCCGTCACTACATGAAGGTAACGGGTATCATACGTGGTATTTAATGTAGATCCATAACCAAAACAACAAAAGGCATAGAAAGCTAAGCCTAATTAGGGTTCCACACTATTAGGCTGCAGATTTCGCATGAAAAGAGCCGTTTCCGTAACTACAAAGGTTATTCAAGATTACTTACATATAGCTAAAAATTGAAAGATAGACGAGATCGGAGATGTTTTGTCGATCTCAACACTTGTTGATCATCATTGGCCATAGCCCCATCACCAATTACACAGTCGAGTGATACTCCATGCTTAAGATATAAATGCATTGTGGTCTAAAATAATCTATTTTTGGTCGTACACGACATTACATTACATTAAAATAATCACATGCAGTGAGAAATATTCTCGCTAGTCCTTATACCTGCCCAACTCTCTATCAACAAAACCGTCCCCTTCAATGCTCTTCAGTGATGAAATGTCCTTATCTAGGCGTCTCCAGGACGAACATAGGGCAGTTAGTTATACAAATCTTCCGATAAGTTCACTGCAGATCCCTGGATTTAGGGAGCCACAGACAGAAGATAGAAAAAATGAAGAATACTACCCTCAGGCGAAACAGACAAAGAAACCTAAGAAACCCAAGAAACCGGAGAAGCCCAAGAAGCCCAAGAAGCCCAAGAAACCAAAGAAATCGATGAGAAATTACAAAAGACGGCCAGCGTTCGTGAAACAGGTAGAAAAAATAAGCAAAAACAACAAGTCGTTATACAGATATAGCAAGTGAATAATAATAATCGAAACAAAGAAGGAAGTCAGCTGTTTCCAGAACAGACGGGGTAAGGGGTATTTCTTTGAGAGTGGGTGGGGCATAAAAAATAATTCGTCCCGCCGATCTAGCCTGCTGGCTATCATGTTTGTTCAGTTCATCTTTCCAGCTTCCACATCCATCAAGTCGTCAAATGCATCATCTTTCCTTACGCCCCACCATCCACTCTTCCTCCCAACAACCATTGCAATTATTGTTAGCGAAGCAGCTCCAAGGAACAATCCATCAAACCATCGATCGACGAAGGCGGGGTCCAATGGTGCTCCAAGCGCATCACTAATCACAAAGCTCATATGTGAAGGAAGATTGCTTCTCAGTAAGAGAGCTGATGCAAGCATATAAACCGCACTGATTTGAGATACAAAAAGAGCAAAATTGGGATTGTCCCCTTTGCTTGCATGACCGATCACCCCAGGGGCTGCACGGCTTAGCATATTGAGAGTTGTCATTACGGATCCAAGTGACCCTATGATAATGACACCGGAGAAAGCAAAGCCTATCATGCGAGACCAGGCAGCACGATCAAGATGTGGGTCCCAATGCTGGGCGAGAAGAGCCACTACATTATTGATAGGGTCGCTTTGAGAGAATGAAGACCTAGATCTATGCAAAAATGGAATATGTGCTAGGGACGTAGCGAATATTCTGTATAAGCAGTAAACAGAGAAGCCGTAAGAAATAGTTGATATAAGTCGACCGAGCACTGATTTGGACCGTTGTTGTACGGTTAACCGGCGCTGAAACTCTGCAAATTCCGCTGACAATGAGGTTCGCATTGTTTCAAGACCGTTGATCTCACTAAGGAGTATCGAATGTTCTGCAATAATTAGCAATGCATACTAAGAGCCGGGTTGGAATCAAACCTTGAAGATCTGCATCCCCACGAACGGCAGAAAATACTTTGCTCATGAAGCCTTCTTGAGATGACTGTAACGTATTAGAATTTAGGTGAAAAGATATCTATGATCCAAGGCAGACAAACCTTCTTGTCTTGGATTTTGATTTCCAAGGTCCTCAGCCGTTTCCTTTTTCCATCCAACATCTCAGTCGCTGCAGTCAAACCAGCCTGGGCTCGGGAAACATCGATGTCGGTGACTGGTCTCGGTTTCGCTGTAAAGTTGTGCCATGGCGACGAGACGCAGCCAAAGCCAGCTATCTCAAACATTAGGTTAAAGAAAACATTTGGGAATATGGTGTTTCTCACAAAGTAGTGCCATTAACTAGAAGTGGTTAGTACATCTATTTTTAAGAAATCGGCGATTGGAGAACCTACGGATACCCCAATAACGCCAACTCTGGCTAAACACTCCTCCATCAGGGTGCGTGCTAGATCCCCATATAATTAGCCTCACTCTAAATCGCGAGAGATACGATACTTACATGTTCCCCAAACAATATGATCAGCTCTCCTTATGGGCAACCTATCGCCCAAACTCCAGAATACCCACAACCACCCCGCAAATGCGGCAAGTTCAGCCATAATCACATACTGTCTCCTCCAACTTCCTATACCACTCCCCCCAACAAGACTGTGTAATTCTAATAGGGGAGTAATCACAACCAAGCAGACTAACAGAACCCCGACCACAATCGGGAACCCAAGACGGCGGCTTGTCACATCGCCCCATTCACTAACTTCACACAAGATCAACTCTGCCAATACACCTGTAGCTCCAAGGGTTGTTGAAAATGTAAGTGCTGCTATCCTCTTCCGCGTGCGATTTTCGAGGTGGGAAAGGTGCCTCGCGCCTGCTCCGCATAAGACCGGAAACAGTCGTTGCAGCACGGTAAAAAAGATGAGACAAAATGTCACGATGAATAGCGACGATGAGAGCAGCTGATGTGTGCTAGATTTATGCTCCTTCGCCCAAGACGGGATACAGTCGTCTGTACAGATATCTGACAGTTCAGACGAGACATCGTCGCCGGGTAACATATCGGCGGGCTAATCTTTGCTGCACAAATTAATTATATTAAAGCCAGGGGAGATTTCTTCTTGAGCGGTAACAACTTGATTGGATAGCGATAATTAAATGCAGGTATATGTTGTGGAATAGTGAATGTCTAAAGGAATTAATTGATAGAGCTTGGGAGGTAAATATGTGTGAGTAGGGTACATGTACGTCTGTAGGTAGATGTTGGGTGGAGTAGCTGATGTTCAAGGAACAGGAGTTGGAGGGTGACGACTCCCGTGGGCGGGATGATCTTTGTGTGTTTTGTGTCGCCTCACTCCTTGCCAATTTCAGACACTGGACCCTGGTTTCACACTGGGTTCCTCGCGTGTATGCACCCCCTCTAGGCCATCAAGGCTTGGAGATTCGCGTTCAATAAGGTATTAACGACTCCTTTCCTTTCTTTCAAGAGTAGCGCAATAAAGCAAAGTACTCTAGAGTACTCTTGTACATACTGCAGATATACGGATATGTACATATGCTGCACATGTGATTTTTCCCGGACTTTAAGTGAGGGTACCTTTGCCGAACCTGCACTTACTATCTATCCGAAGATCAATACCTATCTCCCGTCGAGTTCCGCGCCTATTCTACCGAATTCATTACTTCACCCCCTCAACACTCCAGTCGAATATCTGGGCAAGTATAATTTGTTCTTGGGCATGCATTCTATCTACCTTTCATCTATACGGATCTAATAAAAATTGCTAAAATGTAGTCGGAATAAAAAAGGAAAAGGCAGGAGCTCTCCAAAGATGGCATGCCGACGCAATCAGATTCCGTGATTATAAGCGCCAAGTGATACCAAGACATGCCCAGACATGCCCAGGCATGCCCAGATATGCCAAGGTATTCCAAGAAATGCCAAGAAATAATACCATGCTACTAATTGGTAGTAGAGTCGCTAACGCCACCACCTCTGATCATTGATGTGAAGAGAGTACTTACGTCGTTTTAGAAGCATCTCCGGTTCGGCCATAATGACAACTCACGCGTGACTTTCAAAGCTTAATCAAAGACATCATGACATTTGACAGTCTTAGATACAATGAATAATAGGTATTTACGAATAAAAAAATCTAGCTTTAGGGTAAATAGAGTTGGTTCCGATCTCTTTAAGAAGCCAAGAATCCAAGAACATCCAAGACATCCAAACGGCTATCTTTTCGTTCTAACTGCCTTACTGAATTACTGCCAAGGAGCAGTAAGCGCAGAGTTTGCGTTTTGGTGGGGGTTCTTTGCATCATATCTCTTGGTTCGTCTCCCGTTTTTCTTGGACTTTTCTTGGAATTGCAGAAGTTAGACCCGGGTGG